GGAGGGTTAGTAGGGTGGATGGTAAACAGTAAAAACTGAAATTTGAGGAAAAAAAGCCTTTTTTTTAGAGAGGGGGTGGGGTGGGTTGGTGAAGATGCGGAAGGTTGAGAAGGAGTTTTGGTAAATGTTTTCCTTCTCTTGATAAGGAAAACGTTTTCCTCTAATTGGGAGGAAAATGAGTTCATAAGGAAAATATTTTCCAAAACATTTAAGCCAACCAAACATAGGAAAATTGGAAAACATTTTTCGGAAAACATTTTCCTTCATATCAAACACACCCTAAGTGTCCTCAATTTTTAAACTACTAATTTAGAATTCAGGACATAAGATTTGTATTTCTGCACATAATTTTCTAACATTAGGACACGATGTCCTAAGTTTGAACCTTAAGATTTAAACTTTAGGAGTCTGTGTCCTGAAATTTGAGCGAATTAGCTAATCTTTATATACATTATAAACTGGTAATAAATTTTTAATAGCACATTTAAAAATGAGTACCTGGTATTATTTCCACGACTATTTTAGAACTATTGCCGTCATGGTGGTGAGCTAGAGAGTACAACGGGAAATGGAGCCGGTTAACTCGAAATATTATATACAAGTTCCTCTTTTAATGGGCTTTACATAGCGTAAATTCGAATTAGTTAGGGGCACTTGCATCTATACCCTCTTTTTGTGTCACGTTTTAACTTGTGCCCGCTTTGCAAAAAAATAAATAAATTGCAAGCGTACCCGCTTTTTCGCATAACTTCAGCATACGGGGCTGAAGTAGCAAAGGCAATCACGCAAAACTTCAGCATTCTAGTAGACGGCCTTGAAGTAGCAAGTGTGCTGAATCAAGTGTGCTGAAGTTTTTGTTTTGTAACTGGCAAACTTCAGCTCTAGGCGAACTTCAGCTTTAGAGCTGAATTTTTTATTTTGTAACAGGCGAACTTCAGCTTTAGAGCTGAAGTTTTTGTTTTGTAACTGGCAAACTTCAGCTCTAGAGCTGAAGTTTTTGTTTTGTAACTGGCGAACTTCAGCTCGAGCTGAAGTTTTTGTTTTTGTAACTGGCGAACTTCAGCTCTAGAGCTGAAGTTTTTGTTTTGTAACTGGCAAACTTCAGCTCTAGAGCTGAAGTTTTTGTATTTGTAACTGGCGAACTTCAGCTCTAGAGCTGAATTTTTGTTTTGTAACTGGCAAACTTCAGCTCTAGAGCTGAAGTTTTTGTATTTGTAACTGGCGAAGCTGAAGTTTTTGTTTTGTTTTGTATTATGTCTCCTTTACCAACCCTATCACCCTCCCATTTTAAAAACCATGTAGTACATAGAAGTCATGGAAGAAAAGTGCACAAAAACGTAGTTCCTTGGTCAATTTGGAGACACGAAATTAATTGAAATTTAAAGTCTGGAACATTTAAGAAATCCCTCAACATCTGATTGTCTAATATAGAAGCATTCCCTATATGTGTTATTTTACATCTATTACCTACTGACAATTTCACTCCACTACTTTTCTAATGACTAAAGTTCTTTATATCATGAAAGACTTCCATATAAAAAGTAATATAATGTGAAGCACCCGAGTATATTATCCGATCACACTAAAATGCACTGGATATTAATGTAGTTATATCCATAGCAGCACCAACAACAACAGAAGAAAGAAGAAGAAGAAGAAAACGAAGGAGGAGAAGGAGGAGGAGAAAGGGGGCTGAAGTTATTTAAAAAGTGGGTACAAGTTAAAAGTTTTTCAAAAAATAGGTTAAATGGGGGCGACAAGTAGGACACCCCGTGTAATTTTTACAATTAGTTAGGACTCCAAAGCGAATATGAGACATTATTTCATCTAAATATCATACTATATATACAAGTTCACCTTTAATGGGTCTTATGTAACGTGAATTCGAATTAGTCGGGCGAAAAAAGACATTGGACGAGAAACGAGAAAAAAGGAATGAAAAAAGTAACCGTCTATTCTTTTATTCCTTACCCAACTCAGGAGGATCATCAGTGATTTTGCCGCTCACTTTTACGGATTCACAATCTTGATCAATTACTAAGAAGAGACTCACCTATTCTTTTCGTAGAAGTAAGAGTATATATATAGAGGTGGCTATTTGTCCAAACCTCCACTGTATAAGCTGAAAGAACGAGAGGCGGATTTAGTAACTTATAGTTCACGTGAATTCAAAATAGAAATTTGAAATTACAAAAAAATATTTTTTGTGTG